AATGAGTAGATTCACCTTCCTACTAGAAGTTGCTGTCCTTCCTCTACCACGCCCACGCGCACGTTCAGTACGATCAGATCTATCATCATTATCATCCAAAAAACCTTCATCATCTACCACATTCTGCAGATATTATTTTAAAACATAAATATCTGAAATATAATATAATAATTGTACATCAAATGAGTAGATTCACCTTCCTACTAGAAGTTGCTGTCCTTCCTCTACCACGCCCACGCGCACGTTCAGTACGATCAGGTTTATCATCAATATCAAGGTCATCTACAAAACCTTCATCATCTACCATATTCTGTAAATGTTGTTTTAAACCATAAATATTTGAAATACAACATATAATAATTGTATATCAAATGAGTAGATTCACCTTTCTACTAGAAGTTGTTGTCTTTCCTCTACCACGCCCACGAGCACGTGTGCCTGTTCCCCTAGTTGTCTTTGTGGCTCTTCCTCTTGATGTAGTTTTAGCCCTAGAGCTAGTTCCAATTTGATTGTCTGAATCAATGCCATCTTCCTGCTGATATGTATCAGCGGATGCTTCGTTGCTACTCTAAAATGTAAATATTAAACTTGAGTACATCCTTGATTTGTGCGCATTTGCTGGACAATTAATGGTTACCATTTCTATTAATCTTTCATCAGGATTCATTTCTGCATATTGCCTTGATAAGAGGCTTTTTTGCTTTTGCGCCTAAATACATTAAAAAATATAATTTAGTCGTATATGAGATATATGAGATACGGCAGTAATAGTTCAAACCTGTTCTATAAGGATTTTATCGTCGCAAATCATATTTTCTTGACGAAGTTTCGCTCTTGTCTTTTTAATTGTATTATTATAGAACCTGACCCAAAATTTAGTGATTAATTTTTTTCCATATATATCATAAAAAAAGTTGGTTAATTATAAGTACCCTTCAATAGCATGAGGATCATCTTTATCAACAAAAAGTGTGGTAGCTTCATTCAACGCGTTTTCTGGTAATATACTAAGACTCTTCATGTTCTCTGTAACGAGATCAGTGACATAATTATGAGAAAGATTTTCAGGCATATCGAATTCGTCAACTAAATTCATTGATTGTGTAGTATTTTTTTTCCTTTCTGTAGAAATCATAAAGTACAATACAAATTAAAAATTTCAAAC